TTTTGTCGTGGATTATGAAAAGGATCTGATTTGGTTAAAAAATATATATTAAGCATTGCAAAGCTTGTGAGAAAAAGGTGCAAATCAAAATGGACGAAGGTAAGCAAGTAACTTTGTAAATTAGAATCGGCTTGGCACTCGCTGCTGGTCGTTGATGTACTGCGTGTCTTTAGATTTTATTAAAGAAACGCTGGAGATGGGAAGGATTAAACAATTAACATGCAATTCCCATTCAAATATGTATACAATTTTTTAATGCAGAATATCAGCAGCAAACTTCAGCGGCGAAGAAAGTAGGTAAACAACATAATACCTTGCCGTTGTGGGGAAATGAGGGCACCATGAACTTAAATCCACTTATTCTTGCAAATATACAGGGCTCGAGCTATTTCAAAGGTATGTCCGAAAGGTACAGTAGCGACACACTTTATATATTTTGCAATTATTTTGACTTGAATATATTTTTCTAACTTCTGCAGTGCACTTGTTCAAACTTAAAACTTATCATGAAGTTGTGGATGAGATTTACTATCAAGTTAAACACATGGAGCCTTGGGAGCGAGGATCACGCAAAACTTCGGGCCAAACTGGCATGTGTGGCGGAGTGAGTTTATGAAATGTAGCATTTCGTTTTAAAGACCATGACTGTATGCATGGGTCAATTTGGCAGCAGCAGTCAAGATATTCTTTATGCTTATGTTCATTTTAAATACTTGTTTTGTTGTAGGTGCGAGGAGTCGGAGCCGGCGGTATAGTCTCAACAGCATACTGCTTATTATATAAATTGTACACACTGAGGCTGACCAGAAAGCAGGTTAACGGGCTTCTAAATCACACAGATTCACCCTATATAAGGGCATTAGGTAGGTGGTAAGTCAATAGGTGTGAAAAGCACCGGCATCATAATATCCAGTTTTATCAGATCAATCCAGTTCTGCAATCGGACCAAATATGCAAATGTAAAATTGTTTGCTGCTAAGTATTCAAAAGCGGTCAAATCGATAAATCTGTTTACATTTTTTTCAGGATTTATGTACCTTCGGTATACTCAACCGCCAGCAGATTTGTACGACTGGTATGAAGATTACTTACAGGACGATGAAGAGATAGATGTAAAGGCTGGCGGCGGACAGGTGAGTGAAGTGTATGAATCAAATTGCGTTTTGTTTCTTTATAAAAGTTTTATGTTTGCATAGCAAAAACCTTGAATTTTTTAACATCTTCATTTTTCAGACCATAACTATCGGACAAATGGTTTATCAATTCTTGACAAAGCTTGACTGGTTCTCTACTTTATTTCCTCGTATACCAGTTCCAATTCAAAAGCAAATAGAGAAAAAAATAGAAGAATATTGCCGGAATAACAATATTAGTCCACAGCAGCTGGGTTCAGCAAGAAACGTATCGTCCAATATGGGAAATGCGAATTACGATTATGAGGACGTGGGTTATGATCGACGAAGTGGTGGCGCTGGAAGTAGTCGAAGTCGATTACCACCAGGTGCCAGTGGGAGTTATCGCGATGAACATGATGACCGCGAACAGTTTGCGAATAGTGTTCATAATCGAAGACGTGAAGATTCAACTGAGTACCATAGCAGTAGAGACCATGATCATCATCGTGAGAAGCACAAGAAGAAGCATAAGCATAAGCATCATTCTCGAAGTCGAAGTCGCAGTCGAAGTCGTAGTGAACGGAGGAGAGATTTGGATTACGATCGGGACCGTGAACGAGACAGAGACAGGAATAGGGAAAGAGATTATGAACGTCGAGGGCGCGACTATGATGACCGCCGTCATCGATAAGATATGTATAAAAGACACAGCAAAATATACAGAGGCACAAAAAAGAGTTACTTATGTACTTAGTTTGCGGGAAATACGTTGATTTTCGACTACAAGCGCACTCAATAGGAAAAAACCATCATTGAATAAAGCATTTCCATTTATAAACCATTGTTAAACTCAGGAGGTCTGTTGTTTTATATTTTCTTTTTATTAAATACAGAAAATAGATATACATACACTGGTTCAAATGTTACAATAGTTATTGAAATTGTTTTGCTTCATACTAAAGACGATTTAATAAACACAAATTGCCACTATAGATAGGTACTTGTGTCTGTATTTTATTAACTACTTCACAATTCTTAAATAGTAACCGTTTTCAATAAGTTGACAGAAAACGGGTGCTAAATTAAGGCGTGGTAGGAGGTGGCATTCGGAAAGTCATTGGAAGAAAATGATTTCCTGATAATAGTGCAACATCTTTTTTCATTAACTTTAATAAAGAACGGTTGTGGAATGAATGGCGTAGAAATAAAAGAAATGTAACACCCAATTTTGATGTTTTTTAGTATAAGTAAGCACCCCTGGGAAGTTAATTGCTGCCTTGGTAAATGGGTGTGTCACGGTTGGTCTGCATTACACAAACACAGGAACTAGTCAAACGTTAAATGAGGTAGGGCATTGCCAAAGATCTGCGAATTTTCGCCAGCATTCCCTCTGCGCATGTATTCCATGCATCTTGCTACTTTTAAAGGGCTTCCAAAAGCCTTTCACTACGGATTACTGGATTACAAAGTAAAGCAAAGTTTTTGTGAAAAAAAAAAAAAAATCCATGCGACAGTTTGGTGTGTCGCTGGTATTTTGACGATTTTCAATTTGCAGGTGTGGTATGAATCTTTTCTAATAAGTAAGCGGATTATATGCACGTACGAGTATAAGTATTTAAATACATACATACATATATACATACATACGTAAGTAATGAGTGATTAGCAATGTCTGCGCTTAGTTGAGGATTATTTAAATCTAGTGAACTCGTATGGCATTAAAACGCCCAAATCATTGGAGACATTTACACAAGTTGCGGAAAATGTTTTTGCAGAAAACAAAAATTTACTTCAACAAGTAAAAACTTACTGCACATCTACAGGTCTCTTTAAATCGACTCCTCGTTTTTGAAATTCTAACGTTGGCCAGCATCTCTGCATCAAAAAGAAAATTTAGAAAAAAATGTCGTTTATGTTATTTAGGCGGTAGGGCTCGATATAATCTGGTTGTTGTTGTTGTTGTTGTTGTTGTTGTAGCGGCTACAACAACCCCGCCCAGGACGGTTGGTATCTCAGTCGTTGTCGCCAAGTTCCACTAACGGCAACCCTAGGAAGCGTGCGGCTTCTGTGGGGTTTGTCCACAGGGACAAGGCCGTTAGGGTTGTCGGGTTTTCCGGGCATGCGAAGAGATGTTTCGAGTCATGTGGGGTCTCTCCGCATGCCGGACACTCATTCGGCACATCCTCATTCAACCTACTTAGGTAGGAGTTCAACCTGCTGCAGTAACCGGAGCGAAGTTGTGCAAGTGTTGTGCGTGTCTCCCATATAATCTGGTCGTTCCGGTTACGTAGACCCGACTGTCGTGGGAACGACTCCACTTCAGTCAAGTGTAATGTTTGTAATGGGTTGACTCCACCCTCAGGGTCTGCACAGGTCTAAGGACTCATAGGCACTGGACCTCATTATTTGTGGCCTCTGGCTGCTCAAACAGTGCTGCCTCCACGGCAAACCCCAGTCCGCCTGAGCAGCTCAACACAAACACCACAGCACCACAACACTGCACAAAAGACCACACCATTACCACGACAGACCACAGAACACACACAACCGCACCACCACCCACACGCCGCCGCCAACAACTCTTGGTTCCTCCTACAATCTGCACGGTATGTCAGACCAGGACACCACTTACCACTTAGGGCACGTTCAGGTCTACGTACCACGCGAGATTGGACAAGGAGTTTCTAGGGCCCGTGTTGCGCAGCACGTTCGGCACCTTCTACAGCAGCGCACACAGCCTACGGCGTCAGGCAACACACATCGCTCACCCCCCACATACCAATACGTCTCCTGGCCTTAGGGAGCTCCTACAATTTAACTGTAACGGACTACAGAGCAAGATCAAGGAGATAACTGTCTTCATGGGCCGGCATGGAATATTGATAGCTGCGGTCCAAGAGACGAAGTTGCACGGCAATTCAACTCTGTTGAATTGCGCCGGATACAAGTGCACGGTCGATATCGCGAGCGAGATAATGGTGGAGGTTTAGCGTTCATCACGCACCACACCGTGCAGTATCGTCTTATTGAAGCAGACATCGACCGCAGGGATACCATCCTAGAATTACCCTGACATTCATTCATGCTATCCGGTCAGGCGATGTCGAGCTCGAAATATTTAACGTTTATATATGTACACCCTGTCACCAGCTGCCCGGCAGGATTTCCCCTTGAAATAGGTGGGCTCCTCAGAGGTGAAAACCATATGGTAGTTGGCGACTTTAACGCTCACCACGATCTTTGGCATTCAAATCTGTCAACTGATCGTAGGGGAACTCACTTGGCTGAGCAGGAGTATGGGCAGCTGCTGCAGCTGGCCAGAGATAACAATTGGCAGCGCTGGTCTGATAAACATCATATCATGGCGACCTATGCTGACCTTAGCATCAGACCATCTGCCCATAGTCATCTCGATCGATACATCTGTCGACTTTGCTACCGCGGAACACCGGACCTATATCAACTTTACAAAAGCTGATTGGAAAGGCTTCGCGGAATTTACTGAAAGCACCTGCTCTACCCTCCCCGCACCAACCGACATTCACGTAGGTGAGCGTAAGTTCCGCAGGGTTGTCACTGCTTCTGCAGCTCGCTTCGTTCAGCTGGATGTATAACGGACCCGAACTTTCCAGCTGATGCGGCTATTTTAGCCGATGAGCGCGACCACCTTCTGCAGGCCGATCCCGGAAATCCCCGCATGAAGGATATCAATACGGAGATACGGCAGCTTGTGAACGTACATAAACGGATGAGGTGGGAAGAGCATCTGAAGACTTGCAACTTCACCTCTGGTGCGAGTAAGCTTTGGTCAAGCGTGAGGCCACTGTCCAATCCGACAAAGCGCGGCGAGAGAGTCGAAATGTCTTTCCGCCGCGCGAGCTTTTTTAGCCGGCAGTTCATACTGCATCTTACGGCGGACGAAGCCAAACGTCGAGTGACCAGAAGGATGCACAAAATGCCAAAACCTAGTGCGCCTCTTGTTTTCACCAGCGGTGAGGTAAGGGTAGCCATCGGGAATCCGAAAGTCTCCAAAGCCATTGGACCCGACGAAATTTGCATGTTGATGCTGAAAATTTTGAGTCCTGCGGGAGTAGACTATTTAGCCAAGGTGCTCAACCTGTCAATGGCCACTCTCGTCATTCCAAACATCTGGAAGATTGGAAGAGTGGTCCCACTGCTCGGAAGTGAATTGCAGAACCTAACCGAATGATTTTAAAAAATCTTAGAGACCCGAATAAAATGAATACGTGAAAAAGAAAAAAAAACTAACTAACTACAACGGTGTCGTAAGGGCCGTAATGTTGTATGTCGTAAACTTTAAATGCTTAAATAAATGTTTAGAGAACTTTAAACCACAACCAACTATTTTTTAAAACTGCAAAAATGCATAATACGACTTTGATGGTACTTTGCGAACCCCTGAAATATTCTTTTTAGGCGTTTAAAGTTTACGACACACAAAAATACGACGCTTATGACACTGTTGTGAATACCCCAAATAAAAAATTCGATATTTAACATTTTTGTGATTTTATTAATCTTTTAGTGTTAGCAGAAATAATATAAAACGGCGGACCGAAGTTGTTGTGCAAGGCTTCTGTAATGCTCAAGTAATTCCGAGCAATCAATGAAGTCAGAAATCAAGTCATAAACAAACATTAACTCTATAAGATTATAATGAATTGTATAGGACGAAATGAGACCGAAAAACACTCATCGACAAAATAATAAGTTTGCGACATTTTTGGCTATTTTGCTTTTGTTTATTTAATATCTATTAGTTTTAAATTCACTTTTTAAACTTTACCTTTTAATCAGAGCTTTAAGAAAAATGTTTGGTACCTACGCAGTTTTTAGCCCGTTAAACGTAAAAAAATTGTTTCCAGCGGCTAAGAACTCACGTCAATTAAAAAAAAATCTGCCATTATAATATAGGCCCCCTTTTGCCAGAAACATGAATGTGTAAAAACAAAAATTTTAGGAAATCAAGTTTGAAATTTTTTATGAAACTTAACTCTACATTCGTGTATTTGGCATGGTAAAATATGTGGTTTCCGTGTACGTATGGTATTCTGCATGATAAAAACATAGCAAGGTATAACCGTTCTCTCAATTTGTCGGCCATGATTTTTTTTTGAAGTTTGCCAACATTTTAAAATCATATAAAAGTGAAAATAAAAAATTGAAATTGTTCGAAATTGTTGTTGCTTGAGATAGAAAATGAAAATGTGTGTGTGAGTTTGTGAGTAAATTTAAAAATTAAATTGTTTGGAAACGTCAAGAATTTTAAAAGTGACTCTCAGCGGTTCTACCTTACTATATTTTTATCATGGTATTCTGGGTTTAGGTATAACATAGAACACCCAAAGGTTAATCAAGTCAGCCCAATAAAGTATGTTAGAAAATTTTTTATGAGGAAGGAATTGCATAACATCGGCACATTTGCGTTTTATTATGCTAAAATTTAATGGGCTATACTGCATACTGGGCTGCATACCACAAGTTTCAAAAAATTCTGATTGAAAAGTTAGAAATTTTGTTGAATTTTCCTCATTTTTGCACAAAGTTTGAAATTTGGACTTGTGTGCATATGTATGTATATAGGTTTTGTTGATATTGGCCTTTACTTTTATAAAAAAAAAAAAACAATAATAAACATTAAATAAACAAAAAATCGTTAAAAATAGTCCTTAGATGCAGTTTATTTACTAAAAAAAGTGGAAACCTTTGACTGACATTGATTGATCTTTTTCTTTTGTACATACATATGTATGTTGCATGGATGTAAATATGTACGCTATGCATATATGTATATATGTATGTACATACATGTTTTAACCTCCCATCCCTTTGCTCCTCCATTGATTACTTATTTTATTTATGATTTGCTCATATTTCTTGCGCGCAGTTGACGTCGTACTCGAACTTTTATCTTTCAACATTTGCTGCCGTTGAGTTCCAAAAAATGTATGTATGTAAGTACACACATATA